ATCCATACTTATTACCCGTTTGTTTCAAGGTTCACAAGTATGCTCGAAATGAAGAAAAAATGAACGAAATAAAAATTACCTTCTTCGCGGTCGGAGTTACGACGAACTGTGTGGATTTGTGTCCTTTAGAAGTAGAATTTTTATATATTTCATCTACTTTCATTTTACCTCTCCTATCTAATACCTCACTTTCCACTCATTGAATCGAGTTGTTACTCTTTGAGTTTATCGTATGCTACTTTCACAGAGAATACTAGAAATTGATTGGTGTTCATAAATTAGGAAGACAGTAAGCGTTAATGGCTATTGCGAGTATACTGGAGAAGTATCGACGGTGAATGAAGATGATGGTTGAAATGTCGCGATATATGGATTCGGTGAAGAATGAATGAGCGTGGGTGAAGGTTTTGGAATGAACACGGTGGAAGTTTTCGAAATATATGGAAGTGGAGTAGTTTTCCTTTTTTGAAACACTTAAATCACAAGATATGGTTATTAATTATTACTTAAATAATTAATATATAAATAAAAGATATTTAGTTTTTGAATAATGAAATATTCAGTTTGATTTTAGAATATTGATCTTTAAAAGTATGGTGGAATGTAATTTTCATATTATAATATTGTCGAAGTCAAGTTTAATGAGTCAAATACCTTCATTAGAAAGAGTGAGAAGCGTGTGGAATTGTCACATGGCATAATCCTTGAACGTCTATTTGACTTTGACTTTCTTTATCTAATTGATACTTATGCGATATCTTTGTAGATTTTGAAGTGTAACATAGACTATTTTTATATAATTTGTTTATTGTATCAATTATTTAGCGATCCAACAAGAATAAAATAATAGTTTTCTTCTACACCTTGGTTCTAACCAACTCGACCTAATTACAAGATGGAACAAAATTTTCATGAAGCGAAAATAGATAGGGTCTGTTTGATTGAAAAGATGAAATTGAAAACGAATTTCAGGAAATTGAATTGCCTAAAAATTGTTTTCCTGGAAATTGTAAATTATTATTTTTGATTGGTATAATTTTCCACGTGGAAAATTTTAAAATAAAAATATTTTTTGCTGTTCGTTTGACTTTATTTTACATGAAAATTGTCAATTAAAGGGATATATTTTACTAGTATTGGGAATGAAATTTGTTTTATTGCCAAAAATAAATAAATAAAAAAATTCAAGAAATTCAAGAACATCATCTATCTTTTAATATTCGTTTGGCTTTACTTTACATGAAAATATTAATTAAAGAAAAATATTTTTTTACAATAATTCTTAAAATTTGTTTCCATTGCCGGCAAAAAAAAAAAAAAAAAAAAAAGGTTGCTACAGTAAACCAAAAATTGAATTCTCACCATTTTGGTTAGTATTCATTTTCCTCCAAAAAAAAAAGAAAAAAAGTCTACGTGGCACCAAAATGTGGAAAATGAATTCCTTGAAATTTTTTTGTTAATCAAGCACCAAAAAATTGAAATGTTGGAATTCCAATTCCATGAAAGTTGAATACACCCTTAACTCCTCACACGGCGTCGTTGGTTTTTTCGCACGAAATCTCATAATTACCCTTCAAATTAAAGCGTATTTGCTTCTTCCCCTCGTCTCCTTTCAGTTTTAAAGCCATCATTTCTCTTTGTAGTTTCTACCCTCTGCAAATGATTCTCTCCTCTCTCTACAACCACCGCCCTAACCTCTCGTTGGGGTTTTAAAAAAGGAAAGAGAGACGCAAAAATCGCTGGAAATTGAAAAATGGGAAGAATCCACATTCATAGCCGTATTTTTCTCTGTTAGATAACAGGTAATTTAGGGTTTTTTATTTTTTATTTTTTTTCTTTCCATGTACTGCAAAGGGTTTTTCGACTATCATTGTTATTTTATGACTTATGAATGGAGGTTGCTATTTCTGGCATTTTCTTCACTTGTTCTGATTCATCATTCTTCATAGCCTTAGCAACTACTCTTTTTTGCTTCATTTTTTCGGCTGTTTTTATTCTTCGGTACTCAAGGAAACCAAAACTACCGTCACGTCCTTCCGAATTGGAAAATTCAAAGCCCTTTGATTGTACATGCGTGGGAGAGAAGAGTGTAAATCGTAGTGGTCAGGAAATGACGCCTAGTTTGAATAGTGGTAATGGTGGTGGTGGAGAGATTGGGGAAATGACTGTGGAGAGGCATACAGGGGTATCAATGATGGAGCAGCTGGTGCCGGAGATCACAACCCATGCCCTCAGCTACTTGGATTATCCGAGCCTTTGTCGCCTCTCAATGACTAATTCGCATATGCGGAAAGCTGCTAATGATGACAATGCATGGAAGGCTCTCTACCATAAGGTGCTTTTTCCTAAAAAAGTCTAATTATCAGTGCAAGAAAAATTTGTGGGTTTTTTCCTTTTTACAATCTGTCAAATAGGTGAGTATTTATTTATTTATTTTGATGATGTGAAGATGCTGTTAATATTATTGTTTAGTTAATAGACTATATGGTTTTAATCAATCTAATATGACGGTTGCCTAACTTTTGTTTATGAGGAAAAGTTATTGCTCAGTTTAGTGAGTCGCTCAGAAACAGTAGTTGTATTTGTTGTTCTTTAGAGCTGTCAACTTGTTATTGGTGTATGCATTGATTTAATATGTAACGTAGCACGCCAATAACTAAAACAGAAAGAAGAAAATCTAGAAGATTCACTGCCCTTGTATTTGTTAAAGAATATTTTTAGTACTGCTATCCTGATTGACAAAAAAGAAAAAAAGGAAGGTTGGTTATCTTGAATGATGTATGCCAGTTGAAGGGAATTTCCTGCAAACTTTCAGATAGTTTCATCACGTTATAGTATGTCAATTAGAGGATCTTAATTGGATGGAATAGAAGAAAATCATCACATCATCATCTGAACAAAAGATAAGTGACGGGTATAAAAGTTGTTGCATCTGCATGTTACTGCACGAGTAGGGGCTTGTTCTCCAAATATTTGCATTTTATCACTAGCTATTTTCTTTAAATAAATAAATAAATAAATAAATAAATAAATAAAAGAAAAAGAGGGATTTTAGCTTTTGAAGAACTTCTTAATGTGATGCCTATGGTTACTGTTTGTCTTTGTGGCCTAAGCTTTCTATAAATTTGGTGTGAACTGCTTAAATTAGTTATGGAATGAGATCGTGGAGTGGAAAAGTTGCAAAGTTAATTTTATTTTTTATTATTATTTCTTTTTTTCTGATTAAGAAATGTATTTGAAAGGAAGAAACATAATAAGAGTTCTAGACTGCCAATGTTGTTAGAATATTGTAAGCTGCTATGCTTATGATTCTTTGATCCATACCACCAATGCGAGTCTCTTATACAAGAGAGCCTTTAACTTGGTTTTGGTTGCTGTAAGAATGAGGTGGGTACCTTAGTTATTTTAAGCTTGGTTTTGATTTCCTATTGGTAATGTCTAGAAAATAAATTACATGTATATATTAATGTATGACTATACGGGAATTGGACGTTGAGACTAAGGTACATGCCAATAAGTAGGTTTTAGATGATATCTTTCAGTAGACCTTTTCATTAGGTTGGTTATCAGGCTCTTGTTCTTTTCCAAATGAATTCATGTAATCTTTGTCCTTCAAAAGTGAGAGCAAGAATTAGCTAAGGAGTAGAGAGCCTTGATTTATTAATTCATTTTCTTCGAAGTCACCTCAAAAGTGAGAAACAACCTAAGAAGGGCAAGATAGAGAATAAAGTTCTCCTTTATCGTGCTCCTTTTTTTAGCGGGAGGCAATTTTGAATTCATTTTGCTTCAAATACCAATTGGTTTCCTTTCTTCTTATAGACTATAGCATAATTCTCTCTTTTGCCTAAAAAATAAACACAAAGGGAGCACATAAGTTTTTCTTTGTGTGGGTAATTTTCTCTCTCTATCTATGTATATCTCCCACTTACAACTGAGAAAATAAACGTCCAGCCTAAAGAGTATTGACTCTAGAGAGCTAATTCTCTGTCAAAGATGCTTAACTTTCTGTAGTCTACTACTCATGGACTATCTTGTTGCTTGTGGGGGAGATCTTTTGATCATTATTTTTTCCATTTTTGGTTATTAGATCCCATAGTGCCATTAGATTTCTCAGGTTCTTACAACTGCAATCCTTTAATATAAACGGTAATTGGCAATTGTATGTATGCCAGTATGTATGCTTGCTTAAATGGATGGTATACTTGATTTTTAATATTTTTATTAAATCTTGATTGTGAATTACCATTGTATTTTTTTTCCTTTTTTTTGACCAGATGTTCATTCTGTAAAATTAGGCTTAAAATACTCAATGTGATTTCACTTAATGATGTTTTCTCAACTGCAGCTTGTTTCAGTAAAAATTTGCCATTACCATAGTGACTTTTTTTTTTT